ATTTAATACTGTGATTCCTTGGTACTTGATAATAAAAACAATATATCTGAGGGTAAGAAACCATGGTAGCTGTTAATGCAGCAGGGGGCAGTGGGCTGTGAGGTCTTTTTGTATTTGCTGATGACTTCAGACTCTGGGGTTCCTGAGCACCTCGCTGGAAAAGATCATAACATAACATCAGCTGCTCTGTTTGGGGTATTCCACTGCCATTTGATGGTGTTGTGATGATGCCCATTTATTGCCAGGTTACTCTGCTAAACCTCCTGTGTGTGACATCCTAAGCAAACTGTAGTGTATCCTAACCTTCCCATCCAGGCTGGCATCAGAGTCTCAGAACAGTTTGGGTGGAAGGGACCTCAGAGATCATCCATTTCCAACCCCCTGCCATGGGCAGGGATACCTTCCACTAGACCAGGTTGCTCAGAGCTCCATCCAACTTGGTCTTGAACACTTCCAGGGACATCCACAGCTTCTCTGGGGAACCTGTTCCAATGTCTGGGCACCACTACAGTAAATAATACCTTTCTAATATCTAATCTAACCCTGCCTCTACTTTGAAGCCTCTTTTCCTGTCCTATCACTACAGTTCCTGAAGAAGATTCCCTCTCCATCTTCCCTGTAGCCGCCTTCAGACACTGGGAGGCTGCTCTGAGGCCTGAACACAACCTTCTCTTCTCTGGGCTGAACAACTCCAACTCTCCCAGCCTGTCTTCACAGGGGAGGTGCTCCAGTGCCCTCACCAACTTCAGGGCATCCTCTGGACTTGCTCCAACAGCTCCATGTCTTTCTTATATCAGGGGCACCAGAACTGTGTGTTGTATTCCAGATGGGGAATCCTCAGTAGAGCAGAGGGTCTGGATCTGGAAAGGCATTCAAGAATTGTTGGAATCTTCCTCTGATACCATCTAAACTTTTACTGCTCACTAAATGTCAAAAACGGCTTTTGAAAAAGTATAGATTGGAAACCAAAATTTCCACTGACTCCGGGACTTTCTCCTGAGTAAATGGGAGAACCTGCTTTGTTGTTGTAAGGCCAGAGGAGGGATCTTTGGGAGGGTGCTGGGAAGCAGGGTGATAAAGCACTGAATATGTTCTGTTCCCTCAGTCATCAAATCCTCCCTGAGTGACTTATTCCATGGGAGTTTTGGGTTAGCCCAGAACAGTGTTCCTTACAACAGCCAAGAGCAAATCACTCTAGGGAAATATGACAATATCTGGCTATTGAGTATTCTCCTTGTTTCCAGTAACTTGTAGCTGAAGGACTTTCCAATCTCTGAGTGGCATAGCCATCAATTGATTTATCTTCCATGAATCTAACTGGTGTCTCCTTGACCCCATTTAAATTTTAGGCACCCATAACATCTTGGTGTGAATAAAACTTAGTCCCTAAATATCTAGAACTAATCAATCCTTTAATCAGCCTTATTGACTTCTGAGCTCTCACAGCAGCACTTAATTCGAAAATTAATTTAATTTAATAAAATTAATTTAGCACCTTCCGGTGCTAGTATCTTTACTCAAAGCAGTGCACAAAATTTTCCCATCACCTGAATTCTTTATTAGGTTCAATGCATCACATGAAATAACAATATGCAGGAGGCTTTAAAGGAAAATCAGTGATATGGTGAGGGCTGAAAAAAATTTGATCAGGAGGGTTTAAAGATAAATTAAGGAAGAAATGGGCACAATACAGAAAGCAAGTGACTTAATTTACTCCAGTTTTTGATGTTGAGATGAAAAGTAAGAATACAGATAAAAAATACAGATAAAACTTCATAGTAAAAGTCTTTTATCTTCTTGACCCACAGACATTTAAACTGTCACAAATGTGTGATCACTTCAATTGAGATGAAATGTGGTTGATGCATGCACACACACACACACACAGAGATTCAAGACTCCTTGGTGAATTAGTGACAGTCACATTTTTAAGTGAAACATCAGTGCTTTCTGGTACTCAGTATTAAATCTAACAACCTCAGGGATTGCTCATTTACAGTAGGTAGTGCCCTTGAGCATGCTGGATTTTCATGGCCTTAATCAGAGATTGAATTGTGTATTCTGGTGTACCCAGCTCAGCTTCTTTGCAGAAGCTAACATCTGGGCAAAAATTAGCAGAAATATCAGTTTCAATTACTATTTTGTTTTACAACTCAACCCAAATTGTCACTGACAGAACTAGGCCTTAAGTGCTACATGGGAATTAGCTTTCCTAAAAATTCAGCAACTGAACAGACCTGAGTAGATGACCCACAACTCATCTGTGAAATACTCAGCTTGGGAAAATAATTTGTTTAACTGTGACCCAAATAATGAAGTATACAGCGTTAGTTGTCAATTAGTGCTGTACCACAGAGCAAGCAGAATGTTATGCAAAACAAGAAGCTGCTTATAAGGCAATAGAGGTATCAATTATGAGTTCTAACTAACCTCCCCATCTTTTCTAAGGATTTAAATATAACTCTTTCTTGTCAAATCTTTTGATGAACTCTATTACTGATGTTGGAAGGTGATGACTGTCAGCCAAGAACTACATTAGAGTCCATAATTGAATTTCAAGAGTTGTCAAGAGCAGGCTAATCAAATAGCTGCTACTAGAAGTAAAATATTAAAGAAAGAAAAAAATTAAAGTTCTCTTCTGGCAGGATGCAAAGTATGTTGTATAGTTTCCCTATGTAATTTCTAATAGTATGTTCCATTTTTCTCAGCTACCTTCGTCTGACATTCTTCTCTTGTATAATAATGATTCATTATATATAATATATTCAATGACTGTAACTCACCTCTTAGTGCCCAAAAATATGACTGCAGCTAGACATTTGCATTGTAAAACAAAAGCATAACACCAGGGTTTATGAAGGATTCTTTTATATTAGTTTCTTGATGGGAATGCAAGATTTTTTTCTGAAGTAAAATACTGACCTCAAAATAGTCTTAAAAATCTAGCACAGGAAACAATTTACAGCTCTTCCTTCCCTGTGCTTAGGCAATTTGACAATTTTAGGGAGAGCTGGGGGGCAAAATATTCCTTGGCCATTTAAGGAGGGTGAAGAATTGCACTCACTGTATGATCATTAAATCCATGGCCTGCAGTTGGGAAGTTTTAGCAGTGTTCAAGCTATGAGATAGGTGGGCTGTGGCCCAAAAATACAGAAATGCAGGCAGAGTTCCCAAACAGTGCTGAGTAAAATGGAGATGATGCTCCCTGAGCCCTCAGTTAAATATAGTGGTTGTTCATGACAGCAGGGAGTGCAACAGGAAGGCTGCCCTGAATTAATTTTTCCTACCTGCTATTCCCTGCCTGTTCTTGGGCAAGGCATTTATTTTCTCCTGACTGTTTTTATTCACCTTTTTTATTCCTAATTGCACCAGGACACTGGGGGGACAGACAGGACCAGGTAGTACCTTTGGTTCTGCCTTTAGCTGCTCTCAAAGGAAATATGAGCACAGCTATATTTTCAGTTTCATAGTTATTTACACTTTAACACCACACAGCACTCCTGAGCTAAATGGAATTGATTCTTTGCTGCTACTGTACAAGCCAGAGAACAACAGCAACAACAGTAACACCTGCAGGTTAGCAAAATGTTTTATTATAGTAAAACATACCATACACAGAGGAGAACCAATGGTTATATTTTATCTGTCCCATCAAAGCAAAATACCTTTCTAATATTTCCCCCTGGCTTAAAAAGGAAATGCTAATAGAAAAAATTATTAAAAATAGATAATGTTTTCTATTTATTTTGTTCTATATTAGAAAGGCAAATACTGAGATGATGATATGGCTTAAATATATTAATATTTTCCCTCTGGGGAGCTTGTCTTCATCTCTAGCTAGACCACACATGGAATGAATTCAGGAAACTGCATGACAGCAGGTATCAACTCACATTAGGTGTAATTTTGTTATCTTCAACCAGAGTACCTGAGTTTGACAAGAAGAGGGAAAGTCTTGGATACCTACTCTACAATGTTTTTCTTCTCTTGCATATTAAAATTTCTCCAGTATATTTTCTTCCTATTTTTTCCCTCTAGATAATGCCAAGTTTGTCTTCCCTTGTTTTAACCATCACATAGTAAAGAACAGACCACCATCTTATCACACAAACTCATTTTAGCTTAGTGGAATTAATCACCATGGCTGGTTCTTAAAAATTCTGGGAGAAGTGAAGGAATAGGAGAGAAAGAGTGACTCCAGAGAGCAACTCAGATTTCCTCTATTAACACACCTGCACTGAATGACCTCCTGGAGAAGCCCCTCTTTCTCTCCACTAACTACAGTGGAAAACCCAGGAAGACTTGGCTGGAAAAAATTAGCCCTTGTGAATCTGGAGTTCACAGGAGTCTTACAGTATCCAAAGCTCCTGGGCACTGCAACTTCCATCTGTGTCTGGAGAGTGTTCTTAGCCACCCCCAGTCATCTGCTATTCTCCCTGGGAGTCAGAGATGCATAGCATGGTCTTTGCAGGCCTAAAGTTCTCTTACAAGTTGGCATTTGTGCAGCAGTTAAGGCAGCAGGTTGTCAGGGTTAGCTGGGATTTCAATGTTCCATGGAAAGACAGAGGAACTGTTAACTACATTTAGCAGTTCCTGTTAAAAATTACCAAAATACCAGACAGGGAGGAAGAGGCTTCTACAAAAATACACTGGATAAAAGGGAAATGGCCTTTCCACTGAGCTGAAAAACACTATCTAAAAATGACAGGAACAGCATCCTATCATGCTTCAGACCATTTGTTGGACATTATTCACAGTTCCCATGTGTACAACATCCTCACCATTTTCAATCAACTGGCCAAAACTGTACGATGTTGATACTAAAATAGCAGTAGATAATCTGTAGTGCTGCATCCTTGTCCACATTGACTGTGAAACCCTGAAAATCCAAGGCAACATTAGATCACAGCTGCAGTGTTTTGCAAACCTCACAGGGAGGTTCTGCTACTCAAACCTGCTGCTCTCTGTATTCTGGTACACAAATGAGCCCTGTGACAGCAGAAACACCTGGTCAGTTCTTGCTGCTGTCACTGCAGCTCACTGGGAGGAGGGGCCAAGAAGCCATCAGGACATTTTAAAAATACATATGTTCAAAAAAGACTGGTGTCCTGGTTGTTGATAGATTCATTTTCCTGGATATACTGGAGAATGTCCACTTCATTCATCATCTGAATCCTGTCTTCCTTTTGCTTTGCCAGTGAAGGTGAATTAGTGCTCCTGGGGGCAACTGCTGGCTTCTGAGGCAGAGGTGGCTTTGGTGGGACCTTAGGTTTTGGTTTGGAGGTAACCTCTAAGAGTTTCTCAAAATCATCTTCAACTCTGGAATGAAAAGAAAACATCAGTAACATCCTGGGAATTTCTGAACTGCATTTTGTTTTGTAAGAAAATGCCATCTTTCAAAACAAAACTTTCTGCAGGAAAGGATCTACTCTGATAAATTTCTCTCTCCATAGAAGTTTCCAAAAGAACCATCTTTTTTATAATGTGGCTATACAAGTTAACTTATACAAGTTAATTTTACAGCATGTTTTCAAATGTCTAAATTAAATGCAATTAGCGATAACTAAAACCACCAAACTTTATTTTAGTTTGGGAAAAAAATGTATTTGTGACAGGATGCTTTGCTTCCCCATAAATTTTCATGGGAAAGTAAAATTATCCACATTCATCTCTGTTCCCTCTTCATCCCCATCACCCAATAATGAGATTGAGCATCCCCATGCTCAATCATGAGAAACTGTAAACACTAATGGATTTTAAAATTCCATGTTCATATTTAGTTCTTTGACACTGAAGAAGTTTTGCAATCTCTGACCACATACAACAACTCTTTTTGATGATAATTTGCTGCTGATTCCTACTGAAATAACCCAGAACAACTCAAACACTTCAGGGTATTTTCTGCCTGCATTGTTTGACCTTAACAGATATGCAGCAGGCTGTGCATGCCCAACTCTGTTCCCACATGAGCTGTTAGAAGATTTCAAGAGAGCCCTTATCACAGATTATCTGGTGACTCCAAGAACTGTGTGCCTTTGAAAAGTCAAAATATGGAGTAAAGAAAAAGAAGGATTCTCTTCAGCAGCTCCACTCACTGGAACAGGATATGGTGCTGGAGTCTAAGGAAGATGCTTTTTTAGTTTCTTCTTCTCCATTACCTATAGGTAGGCAGTCCCTGGAGCATGAATAAATCATTTCAAGTCATGTATTTTTTGGTTCTTCCTCTCATTTGCCTTTTGTAGTTAGACTCATGGGACCATTGATGATCCTGCTCTGGAAGGGACCCATCAGGATCATCAAGTCCAGCTCCTGGACCTGCACAGGACATCCCCAGGGTCACACCATGTGCCTGAGAGAATTGTCCAAATGCTCCTTGAGCTCTGTCAGGCTGGTGCTGTGAGCACTGCCCTGGGGAGCTGTTCCAGTGCCCAGCCACCCTCTGGGTAAAAAACCTGTCCTAATATCCAGTGTATAACTTCTCCACTGCCAGGCAATGAGGCATCTTGGGCTGTTACCCAGATGCCTGTGAAACCCCTGGGATAATTTCTGTTTCCTAAATGGGACAGTGATTCCTCCCTTTCTCTCTTTGCTCACCAGCTGCCTCAGGAGAGGTGCTGTAAATGCCTCTACCACACAGCAGTACAACTGGTGGGGCTTTCTGCTGACAGCTAAAAGTAAAGCTCAGCTTTTCCATAATTTGGGAAGCAACTGATGAGGCAACTGTCCGGGACGACCGGGAACATGATCAAAGAACCAACATCTCTGAGACACTTAATTCCTCCAACCCCAGTGAACACAGTTTGAATGTTAAGACCATAGGTATTTCAAGAGCTATAGCCCCCTCAAGCTAAGGCTCCCACTATTGCTATGATAAACAGCATCATTTCAAGGGTTTCTTTTTCATGTTCACCCTCATTAAAACCTGAGAGGAACTTACAACACTACTGCCCAGGCTGAGACAAACTACAGTCACCATGAACCAGCCATGAAGTTAATAAGGATTAGCCTTAATTTTCTGGTGTAGAGACAGTCAGAACTCTTTAAGGTAAAACCATTCCTCAAGTCAGACAGATCTTCTTGTGACTCCCAAAGGGAAACTTAAAAGAATCACTTTTAACCAAGGCTGCTCTTGTAAAATCAATAGCATGACCACTGATATCTAAAAGTAGGGAGCACCTGAACAGATCAGCTGATGGACAGAGCCATTCACTGCCCCAGAGTTCTGCACCTTGAACTCTACCTCTGGTATTAAAGCAAGCAGCATCTCAAATTTCATCCTCTAAGTAACTCTGGAAATTATATTCTTTTTTATTTAGCTAGGACTTTTGATGTCTTTTATTTTCCATCATTCTTTGTGGGTGACATATCCTACTTACAAAACACACTCAATGTATTTCTGAATTCCTCATCTACAAAGAAATTAATTTAAGCCCAGGCCTTTGTGCTTGTTGCAAACTCTGATATCCAAGAGGTATCACACCTGTGATCACATTGCCAAGACATGTTCTTGTTCTCTTTGCTGTGTAATAAACAAAACTTGTTAAGGCTGGTATTTCTGAAGCCTCCCTTCTTGGCATAAACAAATAGTGAATCAATCAGTGTCCATGTCATAAAGTTTTGGTCTTAAATAACAGAAAACATAATAAGCAGAGGAACAATGTACAATACATAGAGACCATATGGAGGAAGCAGGATTTTGAACTAGATGCACTACCCATAAAGGGCAGCAGTAAATCCAGCTCACTAACCTGGTATGATGATACAACTTCCTGAATTGTCTACTCCAGTTTCTGTGCTAATCACAGCAACAAAACCACTCAGCACAGCCAAAAAAATACCCCCAAAAGATCCAGTCCAGTAGGTTGTAGGGGGTCTTTAGGGGGTGGGGGTTTGGTGTTCTGCTTTTAAGCCAAAGATTCTGCAGAAGAAAGTCTGGAAGCTGATGATGTAATTTCCTTTTTCTGTCCTGGATTTTTTCAAGACCTTGGTTAGACAGAAGTCTCTTAGAGAGAACACAGCAGATAATATGTGGTCTTTGTCTCAAAACCTGCTTTTCAGCACTGCAGTGCTAGGCAAACTGTTTGATCCACTGCTGTTTGATCATGTGAGACACAACTGTCTTTGCAAAACTAAAGAGGTAAAATGCAAAACGCCTCAGGCAGAGATAGAAACAAGGACTTCTACTTCTTGAAAGCAAATGAATTGCTACAGTGCATAACTACCACCATATTTAACTCCAGGCCAGGAGAAGGAAGAAAAAAATCAAGCAATTATTCTGAAACATGATTAAAGGAAGAACCTTCCCACCCCGTCTTTTTATGGAGAATCAGACAGAGAATCCATGTAATTAATCATTCTTTAATTAGTCTCTTTCTATTTCTGTAAAAGAAAAGCAGTGCCACATTGTTTAAAATTCTCGCCATATTGTTGTGCTGATTCACTGACTCTATTGGTGGAAATTCTCTCAGAATTCCAAAAGAAAGCCATCAAAGCCCTTACTGAAGAAAGGCTGTCACAAAGCCCTTCATGACTGCTGGCATGTGGACTTTCAGACAGTAAATGAGTTCTGACTTGGAGACAGATGCAGCTGCCACAAGAACATCAACATTTTTGATGCCATTTCCCTGGACTTTGTCCCTTCTCTCTGGACCAATCTTTGGGACAGGAATGACTGTCTGCATGTACAACGTGATAGGGACAGTGACCTCTGCTTGCTGGGAATGCTTTAATGAGGAGAATCTGTAATGAAAGCAAGAGACAAAGACCCCCATAATTTGCGAAGAATCCAAAAGGCTCATGCTTGAAGCTCAGTTGTGTAACTAACTGCAGTTCTTGCAGAACAGACTTTCATCCTTTGCTATCTTATGTTCTTTATTTTGTCTGGTGTTAATTCCAAGTACAAGAGTACTTGGTGAAGCCTTGGGGAGTGCTGTAACATCACATCTACAACTTGGGAAAGGACTTGTGCCCAAAAATAGGCAGGAGACTTCAAAGTATCTGTTACCCATCACATCTGCTATGGTCAGGAGAGACAGTGTGATGTCCAGCAAGGCCCAGGGAAAGATACAGGCTGGAGTTAATCCCAGGAATGCCAAGCACTGGGGGCTGTGAAGATCTCTCTCCTCCTGCTTCAGCTTTCCCCTGCAATCCATTACAGGTAAATTCACAATGATATTTTATCCAGAGCCAGAAATATGTCTGGACATTGGAATGTGACAGTCTGTATTGTTTAACTGCTACAAGAACCACTGGCATGGCTTTGGGCTGGGAGAGATCAGCCCTCCTCCAAAAACCTCTCTGACAAAACTCAAAGCTGGAGTGGGACAGTGACCATTCCCTGGAGCAGCTGCACACAGTGCCCTTGTCCTGCAGCTGCAGAGTCCAAGAGGATGGATGCAGGCAGCCTGGTGGTGCTGCCTGGCTGAGTGCCAGAGAACAGGTTCAATAGTGCAGGTAAGTCCCACAGGAAGCCCTCTGAGGAAATCAGCCTGCTGGTTGTATCACTCACCTTGGAAATGAGAAAACTCAATTTTTCCAGTCTGAAAAAGGGAAAAACCTTTCTCTCCTGCCTCTCTAGAAAGTTCCCCAATTACCAGCCAAAGGCACAGCTGGGGCAGGGGAGAGCAGGCAACTTTTGCCCCTTGAGCTGATGATGTCTGTCAAAATGCAAACAACCTCAGGCAAGATGGTTGAAATCTGGTGGGTCTCAACCCATACATGTTCCAAGGGGTGGGGCAAGGATTAATGTTTCTGGTCTAGCAAAAAACTGTTTGTTTTGTTGGCAAGTTTACTTTATAGCTTTTCTAATGGTTGTAAGTAGCATCCCGATACATCACAGGAATGAAATAAATTCTTGAAAACCATCACAGAAAAATTTGTTTTTCTGTAACCTACTGCAGCCAAATCAAGGACCTTTCCCCACAGCTCCATCATAGCAAGCAAGAGAAACTGCCCTGGAGTGGACAGGAAATTTCTGACTCAGTTATTGCAACCTTCTCTTCCACCTGTACATTGCCCAAATAATCCTCTCCCCAGAGGATCTACATATAAACCCTTTGGAGTTTCTCAAAGCTTTTTTCCCAGCTATAGTGTTGTTCTCATACTCTCAGGACAGTGAGCACTGGTGCTGGAAGCGCTGCTCCACATGACTCTTGGATAGGCTGAAGATGTGTTACTCTCGTAATTCAGCATCTGCTAATGCCTGCTGAAAGAACACACAAACATTTTCTCCTTCAAGGGTGACAAAAGCTCCCTGGCAAACCTGAAGCTGATGAACCTGCTCAAGAAGCTCAATGGACTGAATGGTGTCTGGGGTGCAGTGCCACAAACAGCCTCAGCCTTAAAAAGTGTAATGCTTCTGATCAGTGTAATCCTAAGAAGGAACACACCAGATCTGCCATCACAGGGCAGTAGAACTGGGATCCTGCTGCTGACACTTTTTTTCAACACTAGAAAAAGACAAATGTGCTCACAGCTGCTTCCTTCCATCTCAGCTTCCTATTCATTATCAAAGGTGAAGCTAATTAAATCTATCCTGAAAGGCTGCTCAGACAGCTGTGATAATTATTTCAGGCTAGGATGTGTGATAATTTATGTAATTCTGTGGGCACACAGAGCTGCTGCAACATTCATAGGATCAATTCCAGCATTGGTTTTCCACAAAAACCTGATCCATCACACCAGGCAGGCATGATTGAGATTAATGAGGCAGAAGAGTTCATGCCTGCAGGGCTATGATCTCATTGGCATCATGGAGACATGGTGGGACATGTCCCAGACAGGGACAGGTGAGGACTGGAGTGTTGGAATGGAAGGATACAGGCTCTTCAGGAAGGACAGGCAGGGGACATGAGGAGGAGCTGTCACCCTCTATGCCAGTGACCAGCTGGAGTGCACAGAGCTCAGCCATGAGCCTCAGCTGAGGAGCCATCCAAGAACTCAGGGGTCAGGATCAAAGGGAAGGCAGGGACAGGTGACATTATTGTGGGGGTTTGCTACAGGCCACCAGACCAGGAAGAGTGAGTGGATAAGGTACTCTACAGACAGGAGCAGCTTCCCATTCACAAACCTTGGTCCTCATGGAGAACTTCAACCACCCCATCATCTGCTGGAAGGACAGCCAGCAGGGCTTAAGCAATGCAGGAGGTCCCTCAAATGCACTGAGACCAATTTCCTCCTCCAAGTAAAGGAGCAAACAAGGAGAGGTGCTAGGCTAGACCTCATTCTCACCAATGAGGAGGGGCTGGTGGGGAATGTAAAGCTCCAGGGCAGCTGGGCTGCAGAGACCATGAAATGGTGGAGTTTGACTCTCTCATGGCAGTGAAGTGGGTGCTCAGCAAACCCTGGATTTCAGGACAGCAAACTTTGGCCTCTTCAGGGATCTGCTTTGTAGAGTCCATGGGATAAAGCCCATGAAATCTCCCACTGCACTTAGAATGCAATTAGGTCTTCTCAATGCTCAGCTCTTGTTAATGTCAAGTTGGTGATTCTATTTAAAACAGTAATTCTCTTGCATATGAGCAAGTATCCACAGAGAGCACAGTCTTCAGTTTGCAGTGAGAACATTTATCAGATTCTCTTCTCCCTCAAGTTGTGACAAGCCCTGCCCACGCACATTTTGCAGACTCATTTGTCTCCTTAACAGCCTCTGCCTCATGAGTTACAGCCACTGCTGAGGATTCACTGCTGTGCTGACACTGCTCTGGGCTACTGTTGCTCAAACCACCCAGGTACCATAAAGATCACAAAGGATTTGGCTGCTCCTGTGTTCTGTGCTGGACATTATCTTCTTGCCAACCCCCTCTGGAAGAAGGTTCTGCCCTCCTCTGCCTTAGGCAGCTCTCTTCTAACTCTGCCCATGATTCAGAGTGAGTCAGACACTTCTCAGATCTACCACACACACGAGAGCAGACCCTGAGGTACATGTGACTGTTCACTGCACCAGCAGAGAGCTCCCACATCTGCATTATTCAGCTACTCCACTGGAGTGCAGTGAACATGTCCAGGTTTCTGGACCTACCACAGACCTGCTGGTGCATCATAGCTCAGGACAGTCCTAGATCTCAACAAAATGTGTCCACATAAACTTTTGGCATGATAGAACCGAGTATGTCCAAGAGACCAAGAGGTTTCCATTTCCATTTCCAGTAGCATATCCAGCTCTAGCCTGCTAAAGGAATGGGTTGTCACAGCCCCTACTTTGATCTGAGGGCTGCAGAGAGATTTCTTCAGTCCCTTTTGGGAAAGGAGAGCAATTGTCAACACATACATGGTAAAGGCAAGACTTATTCTTAGGCCTCAAAATAAGCTCAAGCTCCCATGCAGGGACATTGCAGAGTGCAGCTTATACTAAACATTTTGTCACTACAAAGGGTCACTGCCTGGAAAAGAGCCTGTAGTACTGCCCTGCAAGAACATTCAACACCAGTTTGGTGGGAAGAGAAGGGGGGAGGTGAAGTGTTGCACTAGGTTAAAACAGCACTGCCACTCCTCCTCCTCTCTTGGACAGCAGCTTCTCCTTTACCCTCAACTGCCTTGCACTGAGTTCACCAGCTCTCTATGATGTGCAGATAACACCATGAATTGGGTTTACCAGGGGAATTTCAGAGGGTGTTAGGCACCTGAACAGGTCAACAGATCCTGATCTATGTGCCAAAACCTCTTGCACAGCCAGGACCTGCCTCTGGATTCCCATAGCAACTTTCCCATTGGACCACTTGCATGGTTTTCTGCTTCATTGCATGTATTCAATTCCACCTGGACCTCGATGACTTATCAACTATTGGAAGCACTGAGACAAATCAGGAATAACCAAAAACTACTGGAATTTAAAAGAAATTACATCTTTTCCCATGGGTTCCCATAACCATCTGGGTGTGCTGCTGTCATTGATGATCCCAAACTGATCTGAAAGCATGGTCTATTGTTCTCAGAGCAGACTTCAGAGACCTTTCTGAACATATATAATCCAAAAGACATTAACACAACAGATGGAGAAGTTCTCTCTAGTGGATAAAAATGCAAGGACTGCAGTGGAACAGGCCCTTCTCCTGTAGTCATATGAACACTCTGGATGAAGTGCTGTATGCTGAGATCACTAGCAGACAAGAAAATATTGCAAGCACACGTGTGTTTGCTCTCAGTATGCTACAGCATAAAATCAGGTCATGTCCTGCCCCATCAGCTTCTATAAACATCAGGTGGGCTGTCAGGGTCTAATGCAAGATGGCACCCAGCCCAATTTAACCTTTGTTTAAAGTCAGTCAGGTATTACTGCTGAGATAGCCAGCACTTTTCCATGAGTAGAAAGCAACAGCTGCAGAATTACCTGCTTCAGGAAAGCTTTGAAACTACACACAGAGTCTCTCTCCTGGGCTTAGTACCTGCTGTGGAAATCATACATCCTAACAGGAGCTGGTTGACACAAATTAGCACTGGAAGCATAATTCAGATGCCAGCTTGAGACCCAGAAGGAAGGAATTTGACTCATTACTGCAGCACAGATTCCCTGTGTTCCCTGCTCCATCTCTGGAGGATTATCAGCACAGGTGAACCAGCCCTGTGAGGGAGGTGTCAGGGATAAATGCATGGTGTGCTGATGTGTTCTAGTGCTGCACTACCAAGGGAGAAGCAATATATTATACCCTCCTGCAACTCTGAGCTCCAGCCCTCCTTCCCACTAGATTAAAAATTAAACACAGGGTGATAGAGTCCTTTATGGCTGTGGAGGTATGCACAGGGTCCCTCCTGGAAACATGCACAGAAGTCTGTGAGCCATCAGCATGAAAATCATTCCTCCTGTGACAAGAGCCCCTGATTTCAGGGCCCTGAAGCTGAACTGCTCTTTATCTCTGGGCTTTGTTCCCCACTTTTCACAGTGGAAGTCAGGTTCCCTGTGGATCATTTGCAGAAAGAAGAAGTGTCCTGTTAGAAAACAAGAACCAGATAGCACACCTGGGGCCTTCAAGGCTCTTCCTTTGGAGTCACAGAATAATTCCTTGCACCCCACCTCTCTCAAAGGGTCTTCCTAATTTCCTTTTAAATGTGTTTGATGTCCAAGTTCCATGACACACGTTACATTTTACTTGCTGATACAAGTACTGATTCACAGTTTGCATTCTGAGTATTTAAGTTTTGTCCCCAAATTCATCTCTTTCAAGATCTAAATAGATCAGAATAGATCAGACCCCCTTCATCCCACATGCTAGATTTGAGATGAGTACCTCAGCAGCTCCTCAGTGTCCTCCTCAGGATCGCTGCTCAGCACATACTTGCTGTGCTCACAGGCAGCTGGCAGCAGGAGTGAGTCACCCAGTCTCACCACCCCACCAAGGTCTGGGTCTTCAAATAACTTCAGATCTAGAAAGGGGAATCAGAAGCTGCTGTATTTAAATCATGCTATGTAACACAAGGCCTGCACTAACACTAACTAGTAAATCTGGCTAGGTGGGTTGAAAAAACAGATCATGCAGACAATTCTTTTTTTCCAAAGACTTCCAGTCTACAAAGTGCAGTGATACTCTGCACTCTAAGGACTTGGTAAATCTGCTTTTTCCTTGCATTCAAAAGTAGGTCACATTACTCCTGTTAGTGTGGCATGAATGACTGTGGGACAGGCAGCTCCCACAGACCTTAATATCTCAGTTCAAAATGTTTACAGAGAACAGCTATGAGAGCTACAGGTTTCATTTGTTCTTTCTGAATGATTCTAGATGATTCTGCCCAGCTGAAGATTTGCCTTAACATTTCCAAGACATTATTTAGCCTGTATACTATGCATCACTGTAATTTAAAGGCTCAGTTATACACATGCTTTAGATAAAACAATCTGTGTATATACAAATATAGAACAGATTTACTCTCTTTAATCTTTCTTCTGGGACCGATTGATGAGAAATCTTTTTCTGGACCAAAGAGTCCTTCATTTGGATCCACCTCCTCTTCAAAAATGGTTAATTTGGGCTTCTCTTCCTTGGCTGGAGGAGCAGCTGTCTTCTTTGCTTTTTTGGTTCTAAAACATAAGAGAAAAGAAAGTTAGCTGCAACTCTGCCTTTAACAAGCAAGATTTATGGCTAGAAAGTCTCATAAGCTGAAAATAGATGGTGGGAGTCTAGGAAAGGTTTAGACAAAGGTGCAGAGGCATCTGTTAATTGCTGGCAGGAATGGGATACTGACCTGGAGGGACAGTTGGTCTGGCATTTTCTAGCTGGACCCATGTTGTGTATTCTTAATATATGTCAAGGAGTCCAATGGGAATGGGAAAAGCAGAGCTAACAATACTGCACTGTGCAAACTACTACTCAGAAACATTTAAGCAGTTTTACTGCTCCCACACAGAAGGCTTAAAATAAGAAAGATCAGTTCCATCAACACTGTTTGAGACAGACAGAAAAGGATGGCTTGAAATACAAAGTGCAAGTTGGTCCATTGCACTGATCCCTGTGGACAGGTTTTAAAAAATCCCTTTGGCTCCATTTCCTTGCCAGTCCTGCTGCTGTTTATGATTGCTGCATACTCCTTTCACAAAGGTATTAGACACTCCTCTCATTTGCACATGGCTTAAAGACAGTTGACTTTCCTTCCAAGAGCAAAATGAAAAGCACCTGCCTCTTGCTCTCATACCCAGCACTCACATTCCACCAGCTGAGGCTACAAGGCAGCTCTCACAATAATTGAGCTTGAGTTATGAGGCAAACCAGATGGCACAGAAAAGAAAATTTAGAGGACAATAACCTTTGGGTGAAAAGTCCAATTCAAACTAGGCTGAAAGAGAAGCAGTCCCTAGGACAACATGCCCTTCCAAAGTAATTGCCATATTTCAGAGATCTTCACTCTCAGCAGCCCTGGCACTGCAATTTCTAGGGTAGCCCCTTTTGAGTGCCCCTTCCAGTAGAAGATCTGATCTTCTCTGCAGAGAGCAGGTCAGGTTTCAGCCTAGAGCAAACCCAATTATCAGCACTTAACATGCCATACTCATCAAAAACTAAGAACAAGGTCAAAAGATTACACACACACTCCAACTACATTAAAGAGTCTTGTAAAATCCTCTTCCAATTACAGCTGCACACAAAAGCAGAGTCCAGTTACTTCCAGATATTTTCACAAGTTTATTATCAACAAACTGGAACTCACAGATGGTATAATCTTGCTGCCACCACTTTGTCACAAATGCAGCCTAAGAGCAAGCACCAGGCAGAACCTAAACAATGCTTTATTTGGAAATAAATATACCCTATTTGATACTCTAAAGGTATCTGCAGGTGTCAACAACTACTATTCATGACAAAAACTTTCATTTTAAAGCAGCAGGAACTTTAATGAATTTTCTTCTGCATTCATATTCATTAGGGATATGCCTTGAGTAACTTCTGAATTTGAGCAACTTTTGAAAGCACAGCTCCAAGGAACTGCTTCAAAGTGAAGCATTTGCAGAAGACCCTTCTTCTAAAACCTGTCAAAATCTAAAGTTACAATAAGTACAGGCAGCTTTCACCCAGGATACTACACAAACTCAAATCCATTGCTTTATTAACTGCAGTAAGGGATTTATCACTCAAATGACCCTAAGTATTAAAGGTAAACCAAACAACAACAAAACTGGAAGAACAGTAGGACTGAGTCATTCAGAGCTGAAAAACCCATTAAAAAAGATTTAGCAAACACAAATAAATCTGATCTACTATGGAAGAAGCAACCTTTATTTGCATAATTCACACCTCTCAAAGTATTCTTTGAGAGGTGAATGACAATACAGGTGAGGACTTGCCAACCTAAAGAATGCCAAAAGTCTTTGACAAGAACTCTTGTCCATTTAGAGTTACAACAGCTCTCCTGATGCTTAAGAGCCCATCATGGCACAGGTAATTATATACAGGAGCCAGTACGTTGCCAAGCAACAGGTCTCCACCCCAGTGAAGTTAGCAAGGAATTTACTATTAGTTAGCTCAAGTTTTTGCAGTGAACAATACCAGAATAGTGGAAACACCAAAGAAGAGAATCATAAAGAGCATCATACAGAACAGCATGTAAAACAGAAATAATGGAACTGAAATGTCCTGGTAATGACCTTTTGTGTGGTCTGGCCACCAAACCAGCCCACTGACACGGGCTCACTTTCTGTTTGGCCAGGGGACTCCACTGGCAGCTACAGGGCACAGGGCCAGACCCGCTGAGCTTGACTGGTACCGGTAGGAACAGGAGGAAATTGTTTTTCTGCCTTCAAGTTGTTTCCCTTCACTGCCCTTCTAAGGAAGCCACTGTTGGACTGCCAAGTAATTCCAGCATATCCATACAGGGCCACTGTTGAGGTCAGTCCCTAAGTGGGAAACAGGATTCCCATGGTTCTGTATTTAGCTGTGCCAGCCCAGACTGCACTGCTGAGCAGAGGTTAACAGATGAGAAGGGGGTGTGGGAAGTTTAAGAGACTGTCTGAGGTTCTGCAGCTGGCCTGAGGCTGCATCTGCCTGCCCACCCATCCCCTCTCTGTATATTGGTGCTACCTCCCCATAAGCAGGGCCCAAGGACTGTGCTGGAGCCAAGCTGATTGTGAAGCCCCAAGCAAGCAGGCATGCAGAGGAGAAGCTGCAAGGACAGCTAATTCCATGATCATGATGTACCAGGGTGCAGTAAACTTGTGCAGGAATGTAGAGTCTTTAGAGAAGACAGAAATGAAGGAACATTAAGTCTTCCAAAGTATTACTGTATTCAAACCCTGCACTTCAATAGCACCTTCTTCATACATCATGCTCACAACCTTGGCATCTGACATTTTGAAACTACCAGCATCTAGCTGGCAGAAGATGACCCATGTTATTGCTATTTCTTCATTTATGAAACAAGTGAACTTTTGGAGCATCACTCTAGTGACTTTTAAAACCTTAACAAAAACCAAACCAGCCCTAAAGATGATGTGATCCTTTGTTCAGCAGAAACTATTTACTCAGTTGAGCCTACTGATGTCTACACAGGAAGCACTGAAACACTGTGAGAATAACTCAAATAACCCTCCTGTCTCCTGCTCTAACTAAAAAGGAGCCTCCTAAGTGACTGTACATAAAGAATGACCTTTTAACTGACATGGACCAAACCTGGATGATCAAAAGTTAGAGTACATGAATCCACCTAGTCAGGCTGCTGGAACACTTGAAAGCCCAGCTGAGACTCCTGCCTCCCATATGATCCTCAAATCACCCATGAAAATGTCAACAAAACCCTGTATGCAGACACTTTCATACCCCACTCACTTTGTGAGCACAGCTCTCCTGCTACTGTTTACTGACACAATGTAGGTCACTCATCTGGCAGCCTCCAGGTCTCCCTGGCACAGCAGCAATGCTCAAGAGCTTTCTGGTCAGCTGTGGAAAACAGCAATGAGGATGACTAAGGCACTTCGAAGTCAGAAGATTTCCAGACCTGTGTGTGACAGCTGTTTGTGAAACACTGGAACTACAGATCTAATGCTGGGTGACCCTGGTTTAAATCACAGTGTGTCTACTGTCTCTATACAGAGAGGAGTCCCTGCCCCGTGCTCACTGCTGGGTTAAAACAGTGAGAGTTGGAATCAAGAGCATGAGTAATCTCAGCACACAGGCAGAAGTCTTCAGGTGTTATTATTCTGAAAATATGACCATATCTTTTTTACAGAACTAAAATTATGTTTCAGAAAAGGAGTGCTACAGTAATATTAAAAAAAAGACTTATTCAGAATATACATACTTATATATTAGGCATACATACTTATATATTATATATACTATATATATAATATATACTTATATATTAGACATACTTACTTCTACATTAGGCATCCATGGAATTTTACAAGGGAAGAGCTCACTAATATAAATGGACATCCCCACTCCCACAGATCTATGTTCAGGCTTGAACAAAAGAGCTACAGCCAGAATAGCAGCAATATTTGCACATCTTCTTGAAAACCACGTCTGAAAAACAAAGATCCTATACAATCGTTTGTGCAGAAAACAAAATGTCATCTGCTGCTTTCTTTTCACTCAACAGTGCTCGTTTTCCAGAGCTGCCTGCTAATAAAAGACAGGACAAAAGGGGTCATTCTCAATTGCTCTGGCCAAGGGATGCCCAATAGAATCTCTAAGCCCATCAGCTCACACAGCCTCACTCCTAAGCATTAAGCTGCCACCACAAGTGCTGGCTGCAGGGATACTGTACCTCACACAGCAATCTTTTTCTTGTGGACATCATGCTAATTTACAGGATTTTAAATGGCTTTGGCATGTCCCAAATTAAGATAATGTGTAATTGATGGAATAAATCTCCAATTAGCAATCATTTGGAACAAGAGTATCCAGTTGCAAAGTTTGTCTGCTGCTGCTCTGAGATTAGGTCAGCCTTGGATTATTGTTCCAGCAGAGCAGCAGACAGGAAAGAAAGCCTGAAGGAACAGATTTTCAAGAGTTCAGCTCCCATCCAGGGACCTGCTTCTGTGGAGAGATTTTTCTGAAGGGCTCAGAACTCAAGAGTAGTTCTTGAGTTTAGGAAGAACTTTGTTCTTCCTAAACAAAGGCAAGCTGTGTTTATAATCTGTCCTCAAGTTTTCTGATTATATCCTTTTCCAATGTAATTTGAAAGCAGATGAGAAGACCACAGATGGACAACTTTTGTTTAGTACACAGCTCATTAGCAATAATCATAATAGAGAAACATTTCCTAAAATGTTTTCAACTAAATAACTAATAAAACACTCAAGCACTCATAAACCTGGCAAGGGAACTGGGGTTAGAGACCAGATTGCAAAGAAGGAAAATTAACATAAAGGAAATTTCTTTATAATTTTCCTCTGATTTTCTGGACTAAGCCAGAGTGTAAGACTTGCTGAAACAAGTTAAAGAACAACAAAAGACAAGTTTCAAAACATAATCATGACTAAATTAAACCACAGTGGTTCAGAACAAGAGAAGCATAATAAAGTTGTCAATAATGATGTGAAAAAGCCAAAAATACTCATTAGTATTTTGGGTTTTGTCTGCAAAGCAG